GCCTCCTGAGTCGCTGGGATGACAGGCGTGCGCCACCATGTGGGGCTAGAAATGCATTTTTAACTAAATTCAGTAACGAGGAGCTGGGCTTTTGGAGGGGCATGCTGGTCCCTCTGGGGTCTGAAGAGGGGTAGATAGCCCTGTTGGTGGCAGCCAGGTCATGGCCACCAACAATACTAGGAGGTCAAGTGAGAGAGGGTGGCCCAGGGCTGGAGTCCACCTGCCCCTGGAGTACCCAGGCGGGCTCCCTGGAGGAGGGGGATCTTGGAGACAGACCCTGGGGGAGGGCATCCCCAGCAGGGGGTCTGGGGGAGCAGCATCAGGGATGTGGAGGCTGGGAGTGGTTCTGGGGAGCAGCTGGGGCTGGCTGTGGGGAGAGGAGGGGCCGGGCATGTCTGGGCAGGATGCAGGCTCCCATCGAGGGCCAGTGGATCAGGCCTTGCCCATCACGGCACAGGGTGTGGGTGGGTTCCCACTCCGTCACCCAGGGCCAGGGTCCTTGGCCAGATGATCTGACCCTCGTGCCCCCCGACTTCACTGGTTGTGGGGTAAGGGTCCATGTGCAGGACGGGCTGAGAGCCCCAGGGTACAGTGTCAGTGGCTCGGTGCCTTGGCGGTACCCGTCTGGGCGTTGGCTGGCAGGAGTGGTATCAGATCCCCATAAATCACACAGGGCCACCTCCCAAGCTACAGGTGAGCCGACGGACTGGCTCCGGGCCCCCTCAGACCCCAGGATCGCTGTCCACACCCACTGATGGTCACTGAAGAGCTCTGCGGCTTTACTATGTATAATCAAACTCACTCGCCATTAACTTTGTGCCTAATGGACACATTTTAGGTAGCAAGTCCCAGTGCATCTGTAAAGGCTGACTTGCATTCTGCTCTCTCTTCTGGCTCTGCCTTCAGTACTCCAACACAGGCAGCAGAAGGGAACACGTCAAGGTCACCTCTGAGCCCCAGCCAGGCTTCCTGGAGCGGCTGAGCGAGACTTCGGGGGGAATGTTCGTGGGCCTCATGACCTTCCTCCTGTCCTTCTACTTAATTTTCACCAATGAGGTAAAATATCTCGCGTCCCCATGGGCACAGCGAATCAGGGAACAGGGACTATAAATCCAGAGGCTGCATTTGGCAATAAGGGACCTCGATTTTTATAAAAGAGAAAGAATAACACGGAACAAATCAAAATTCATTTTGTGGTGACCTACCTCCCCCTGGTGTAGGCACGGCTCCTGAAAATCCTGCTTCAGGCATGGTTGGATCCAGGTGTTCGTGCAGGGTCACCCGATTCTCCGTTCCTTCGGCCCTTCCCTGTGTTTCTGGGCTGTGGCATCTGTCCTGGGCAGGGTGCTCCTTTGGCAGGCAGAGGTGGCTCAGCAGTTCCAGTTTCACGTCCAAGTAGCTCAGAGATCCTAGAGAAAGAAAAAAACAAAAAAGGAACCAAGTGTTTCTACAGCAATTCTGCAGGAGTTGCAGAAGGGTCTCTCGGAGTCCGGGTTTGGGTCTCGGGCCTTTGAGCCAGTGCCTGAGGCCAGGGTCAGAAAGGCCTGTGGGGACCACGGGGACCAGGAGAGGAGAGGACGGGGGCGGAGAAAGGGGAGGGGAGTCCAGGCAGACAGGGAGGCCACTGTGCCCACGGGAGGCCGAGAGCCGGGGCTGATGGGAACCCGCGGGTGGCGGGAGGGGGAGCCTGGGCGCGCAGGGCCTGGCCAAGTCCCGCGACCTCAGTCCCAGCAGGGAAGTGGGGAGACGGGTGTGAAGACAGCGGCCTTGGGTGACGTCCCCTGCCCTTCCCTGCAGGGCCGGGCGCTGAAGACGGCCACCTCGCTGGCGGAGGGGCTGTCCCTTGTGGTGTCCCCCGAGAGCATCCACGTGGTGGCCCCTGAGAACGAGGGGAGGCTGGTGCACATTGTGGGGGCCCTGCGCACCTCCAAGGTAGGGCCTGCCGCAGGCTCAGGGATGGGCCCTGGGGGGTGACAGACCCGGGGTGACCCCCAGTGCCACCTCTCGGCCGCTGTGTGCACTCGTGGCATGGGACTGGGCTGACCTCTTGGCACGGCGCCTGGCGTGTGGTGGGAAGGTCACACACAGGTGCTCTCGCGGGGACAGCATGGAACGCGACGACTCTGGTTGTCAGAGCTCTGCTGTCGTAGATGTGGTTTTTTGTTTTCGTACTAAGGATTGAACCCAGGTCAGGTAACCACGAAGCCCCCCCCCCAGCCCTTTCTATTTGGAGACAGGGCCTCCCTAAGTGGCTGAGGCTGGCCTCGACCTTGCCATCCTCCTGCCTCAGCCTCCAGAGTCACTGGGGTTACAGACGTGCACCGCCCACAGCAGCGGGGCTGTTTTTGAGTGTTGGCGTGACACAGTGGGGCCTGCAGCCTGACCTTGGACTCCGAGTCAGGATCGTGAGCATTAAGGGTTAAGGACTGGGGACACCCAGGCACAGCGTTGCATGCCCTGCCGTTTGGGAGGCTGAGGGAGGAGGATCGGGAACTCGAAGCCAGCTAATTCAGCCACTTAGTAAGGCTCTCAGCCACTCAGGGGGACCCTGTGTCTAAATAAAAAAAACACAAAATAGGCTGGGGACGGGGCTCAGTGGCTGAGTGTCCCCAAGTTCAACCCCTGGTATCCCCCAAAAATATCCAAGAGTTAAGAACTGGACAGGCAGCTCCACTTGACGCCCCACCTGTCCCCGTTTTCCACCTCCTTCCAGCCCGGCCTCCCTGAGCCAGGGTTTCAGGGGGGATGTGAGGGTCACCTGTATTTTCTGGTCCCTTTGACTCTCTTCTGAAGCTCTTGTCTGATCCAAACTACGGGGTCCACCTTCCGGCCGTGAAACTGCGCAGACACGTGGAGATGTACCAGTGGGTGGAGACGGAGGAGTCCAGGTGAGGAGGCCGGTAAAGGAGCTGCAGGCACCTACAGAAAACGCAGCGGCTTTTGTCTTTTAGGGATACCGGGCATTCATCCCTGGGCCCTCGACCCGTGAGCCCCGTCCCCAGCCCTATTTTACATTTTATTTAGAGACAGGGTCTCTCTGAGTTGCTTAGGGCCTCACTTTTGCTGAGGCTGGCCTCCAACTGGCGATCCTCCTGCCTCGGCCTCCCGAGCGGCTGGGATGACAGGCGTGTGCCACTGCGCCCATCAGGCCTCTCATTTTGAAGCCTCTGAAATTCAAAGGACAGACTCTTCTACCAGAAAAATATCAGATTATCCCAAAGTTAAAAGCCACTGATGTTTCGTTTGGGGATGGCCAACACCCGCCGCAGAGTGGCTCCCTCCCCAGGGACATCCCGGGGAGCACACGTTGGGGATGTTCCTGGATCCAGGTCTCCAACGATGCTGGCGCCATGTGCCCCCCGCCAGCCTCTGTGCCCACTTTCCCTTCCTGGGGCTCCACCTGGCCCCGTGGTGGCAGAGGTCACCTTCCCGCTGACATCCCGTCGGGAGTCCAGGGCGTGATGGCACTGGCCAGGTGGGCTCGGTCCCTCTGAGCGACTGCGCAGCTGGGTGTGAGGGGACGGTGGCCCGCGGGCCCTGCCCAGGGCTGTCCTGACCAGAGGCTGCGGCCATCTGGGGGGAGCTGGCCCTGTGCCCCGAGCTGGCCCGGCTCTGGCTGGGACCCACCAACCCTCTCCCTCCCTTGGGGACTGTGGCCCTGGGGGTGCCCGGATCCTGGGGGGCCCCGGGTGACCGGGCTGCGGTGGCCCCTGTGCTTGTCTGCAGGGAGTACACGGAGGACGGGCAGACGAAGACGGAGACGAGGTACTCCTACAGTGAGTACCGCCCGGCCACCCAGGGCCCTGCTGGCCACATCCCCGTCCACTGTCCCCAGCCCGTGGCAGGACGGGACCCGTGGGTGGAGCTGGGGACAGGCACAGCACTGAGCCCAGGAGTCCTCCCATCTGGGGGCCCCAGGACTGTCCCCTGGCCTCTGGTGTCACGGGCTCACGGTCCGCGGGCCTCGGCCGTCGGGGCCATGGGTACGGCTGAGCTGTCCCCTGTCCTTGAGCAGACACCGAGTGGCGGTCAGACGTCGTCAGCAGCAGAAACTTCGACCGAGAGATCGGCCACAAGAACCCCAGGTGAGCGGCCGGGCCTGGCCAGCCTCAGCTCCCCATCTGAGCAACGGGAGCGGGTCTTCTGCCCCGGGGGTCGGGTTAGGGACCAGGACACCCACGAGTCACCCTCTAGAGGCCTGACCGAAGGGCAGGAAGGGACGGGCGTGGACAGACCAGGGGAGGACCCTGTTGCTGGCCACCTCTGGAGGACCATCAGGAAGGGCCTCTGGGGCAGAGGCTGGTGACCTGGTGTCCGCAGACGGGGGTCAGCTCAGCCGCACAGTGGTGAGCCCGCGTGTCCCTCAAGCGCCACTAGGGCCTGGGCCGTGGGCCACCGTGGTCAGGGCTACGCCAGGAAGATGGCGGGAAGGGGTCAGTGAGGGGTGCGCGTCCAGGGAAGTCCCCGCCACGGCTCAGAGGGCCACCAGAGGTCTGGGGACAGGGACAGAGTGAGGGGCAGGAGCCGTGGGGACGGCAGAGGAAGACGTGTGTCCTGCCTGGTCTCTGGACTCTCATTGCCCCTGAGTGGGACCTGCCAAGCCCAGGCCACCTAGGGTCCCACGCAGCTGCCCTCCTGGTCCCTGTCACCAACGTCCCTGTCCCCACAGCGCGATGGCAGTGGAGTCCTTCACGGCGACGGCCCCTTTTGTCCAGATCGGCAGGTTCTTCCTCTCGGCCGGTAAGTCCCAGCCCTGGTGACCGGCTGGTGCCAGCCCAGGCCCTGTCCTGCCCTCGTGGCCACCCCAGGGGCAGCAGTCCCCGGCGCCCGGCCCTCGGGGGTGGAGGCCGCAGCAGCCTGTGTCCTACTCGGGGCCGGGGCCAGAGGACAGGCGGGTCCCCAGGAGGTGGGGACTCCACGCAGCCCCGCCCCCCCCAGCCAGGCCCCAGGACACCAGGTTGGCCCAGGGAACAGCCCGAGCTCCCTGTCCCCTCCCGTGCCACGCCCATCTGTGGTGACCAGACGGGTGGCCTGTCACATGCTCCCTCGGGGACTCCAGAGAGAAGCTCCCAGGGGATGAGGCCGCGCCACGGGCCGCAGTGACCCCGAGTCACCCCCATGGGCCTAACCCAGGAGGGGACGAGAGGGCGGGGTCCAGTGTCCAAGGTGGGGGAGGCCCAGTGACAGGGCATGTGGCTCAGCTGCTGCGCAGTGGGAAAGGCCAGGCCACTCTAGAGCAGGGGACACTGGCCCGGCAGGAAGAGGGGACCGAACAGCCCTCCTGGGGGCCGGGGTGACACAGGCCACCGGGAAGCTGTGGGAGAGGCCTTCTGGGGTAGAGGCCAGGTGTGAGGACGCCGAGGTGCGGCTGGGTGGTGGCGCTCGCAGGGCCTGGGCACCCTGGGAGGGACGTCAGGGTGGCAGGTCCCCAGCGGTGCCCGGTTGCTGAGCGCGGGGCCTCTGTGTCAGGCCTCATCGACAAGATCGACAACTTCAAGCCCCTGAGCCTGGCCAAGCTGGAGGACCCCCACGTGGACATCGTTCGCCGCGGCGACTTTTTCTACCACAGTGAAAACCCCAAGTACCCGGAGGTACGGGCAGCCTGGGCGGGCACCGCGGAGACCGGCCGCAGAGAGCTCCCTGTGCTGACCCACAGCTGCGCGTGGCCACACGGAGTCAGAGGGGACAGGGCCTCCAGGGGACAGCCCAGCCCGGGCAGAGGCGGAGGGAGGGACCCGCCAGCCAATGAAGGAGCCTTGGCCCAGCCCCAGGTGGCCACTGGCTGACCCCTCCCGTCTCTCCCCAGGTTGGAGACCTGCGCGTCTTCTTTTCCTACGCGGGACTGAGCAGCGACGACCCTGACCTGGGCCCGGCCCACGTGGTAACCTGGCCTCCCCGGGTGGACCCCGAGTCAGGGCGTCTGGGCCTCCCCAGGCGCAGACCCCGGGAGAATGTGGTGACCGCCTTGTCCCCTCCCCCTGGGGACGCACATGCTCGCCCACACGCAGTCCCAGGCTTGGCTTCTGAATTCTGTGCCTCCCTGCCACCATCCCCAGACCCCAGGCCAAGAAATGCAGGTCTAGGCCGGGCGGTGCTGCCCGCCTGTCATCCCAGCTGCTCGGGAGGCTGAGGCAGGAGGATCAAAAGGTGGAGGCCAGCCTCAGTAACTTATCGAGGCCCTAAGCAACTCAGGGAGACCCTGTCTCTAAATAAAATAGAAAAAGGGCTGGGGACAGGGCTCAGGGGTCAAGTGTCCCTGGGTTCAATCCCTGGGACCAAAAAAAAAGAAAGAAAGAAAGAAACAGTGTCCTGGTTGGTGGCCTCATCGTGTCTGACAAGAACCGCTCAGTCACAGGTGGCTTCCCCGTCCGTGGCCTTGGTTCCTGGCCCTGGGTGTGCACTCAGGAGCTCCATCCTGGCTGGCCCAGGAAGGGGCAGGAAGGACCTCTGGGGCCCAGGTAGCCAAGGAGAAGGGGAAGCCACGTGACCTGGGCGTGGCCTGGCTGCAGTGTGGCTCAGCTGGGTCCCCTGTGGCAGCCAGTCCTCCCCTGAGCTCTCAGCCCAGGACGTGCCCAGCCCTGCTCCGCCCGCCACCTGCCTCTGGCCCAGGGTCCTCGATGGAGCTCTGGATGAAGCAGCTCAGCCAGAGCCCCAGGGGCGGGACAGCCCAGGGGGAGTCCAGGAGGGACAGACACGCCCAGGTCCCCCCCTCACTCCCTGGTCACCATGGAGTCCCAGACAGAGCAAGTGTGGCGGGCAGTGGGGGATCCTCACCTTGTGCCCAGGGGCCTCTGACGCTGATTTCTGGGACTAGGTCACTGTGATTGCCAGGCAGCGAGGTGACCAGCTCGTCCCCTACTCCACCAAGTCCGGGGACACCCTCCTGCTGCTGCATCATGGAGACTTCTCGGCAGAGGTGAGTGGCCACTGCCCCGCCTGCGTGGAGGGGGAACAGGTGTGTCGGCCCCTCTGCCCTCCCAGGGGCTGTTCCAGAAACTTCCCCTGCTAGCGATCGTAGCCACTGCAATGCAGCAAGAAAAAGAAATAGAACAAACACCCAGACGGACGGATAAAAAGCCACGCGGTGCTACAGGGGTCGAGAGCTGCTCGGACACCTGGCTCCTACGCGGAGACCAGTCTGCAGCCACCGAGGGCTCCCAAGGAGTGACATTTGTGCAGAGGCCACATAAAGGGGGGGTATCAGCCCTGGAGGAATCGGGCCGTTCAGGGACTGGATAGGAAAGGGCCCCTCAGTGGGGCACACTAGGAACGGGGGAGGTGCCCCTTGGAGGCCATTAGGAGGGCAATAGAGGGCTTTGAGCTGGAGTATCCGGGCCGGGTGAGTGGGGACAAGTGCCCTGGGACAGTCCCCACGGCCATCGGCATCCCTCTCCCATCTGCACCAGGGAGGTCATGCAGGAGGAAGGTGCAGGGGGTACTAAGCCCTAGAGGTCACCCCTCTAGGCAGGAGTCACCGTGTGACAGCTCTGCTGAGGTGGTGGACACTGGGACTCCGGGTGGGACGCACACTTGCCTTAAATTAGGGGCCAGAGACGGCGAGGGCAGGAGCAGGCCACGGGGACCAGCTGGGACCCTCTGTTCCTGGGCCCTTGGCTCCGTCTGTCCCTCGTCTGTCCCCTGTCCCTGTGACCCTCCTGCATGGTGGTGCCTGGCCAGGACCCGGGGAGTCAGGCTGTCCTGCAGGGTGGGGCGCCCCTCCCAGCCTGGCACCCGTGAGTCACCCTGGGGACTTGCTATAATTAGGAGCCTGGTCCAGGCCCTGTTCTCCCGCCCTGGCCGCAGGCCCAGTCCCAGGCTTCCTTGGGCAGCGTCCCAGGTCCCAGCGCTGCCCGCAGGGAGGAGGGGGGGCGTGTGAGTGACTTAGGCCCACGGGGAAGGCCCTGGCCCGGGAGGGTGCGCGGCCTCCACGCCCTGGGCCTCCTGCCTCTACCCCCACGCGGGGTCTCTGCCCCTGAGCCAAGGACACCCCAGGGCACTGAGAACAGGCCCAAAGGCAGGAGGCTGGACAGGAAGGGCAGGGGACCAGCCGTGTGGGCCCCAGGAGCCACTCACTTGCCCCCGGCTCAGGGCACGGCCCGCGGGGCCCAGGGCTTGTGAATGGCTCTTCCTCCACCGTCTGCCTCCCCTGTGAGAGGGGACAAGTGTCCCTGCCTCCCTGGTCACCTTGAGGACCAAGCAGTGCACTCAGGACACATGGGAGACAGTGACGACCACGTGGGGTGCTAACGGGGTTAACAGACAGGGCCTCCCTGCGCGGCTGAGGGCCTCGCTGTTGCTGAGGCTGGCTCTGAACTCGCCATCCTCCTGCCTCGGCCTCCAGAGCCCTGGGATGACAGGTGTGCCACCACACCTGGCGTGACAGATGTCATTATGCAGTGAATGTCACCTACTAGATTGTGACAGGGGCCTGGCAGAGATCCGGGGCTCGGGGAAGGCTCTGAGGAAGTGGCATTTAAGCCAGGACGAGAAGGATGTGGATGGCCGGGCAGAGCCACCCACATGGGCCAAGGCCAGGAGGTGACAGGACACTGACCTGGTCTTGGTGGGACCTCGGCAGGTCAAGGTCATGGTGGGTGAGGGAGCAGGCCCCGCTGCCCGCCAGGGCCCAGCTCCGGGGTGGGTGGGCGGTGGTCCCCGTTGCTGAGGTGCAGGTGACAGAGTCGGGGTGCAGGCTGCGGGGCCTGAGCCCTGTGTCACCAGTCCAGGGGCAGAGGGCTGGGCAGCCAGCAGAGGGGCCGAGCCTGCGGCCTTGCATGGGGGCCAAGAGGCGGAGGGAGGCCCTGGGCAGAGCGTGGCCCATGGAGGCCGCCCGGGGGCCAGGAGAGGGTCAGGGTGGCCCTGAGACCCCGAAGGTGCATCCTGAGATGCAGGGAGAAGGGAAGGAGGGGAGGGTCCCCGAAGCCAGGAGCCGTGTCCCGGGGCCAGTGGACGCCACAGGCTGAGCAGCGCCCAGTGCCTGTCGCGCTGTCCGTCACCACACACACGAGGGTGGCAAGGGGCACCAGAAAGGTCCCTCCGTGTCATCCAGAGATGGCCCACTGAGGCGCTGTGCCAAGACGGGCTTACGCCTTCCAGAACCTTCTCTCCACTGTGCCAGGTTGACAGGGGGGCCCAGAGCTCTCCAGCCTCAGGTCCACCCGTGGCCCCTGCCCTGCCCGCTGGCCGGCTGGTGACGTCCCCCTGCCCTGTCCACAGGAGGCCTTCCGCAGGGAGCAGAAGAGCAACTCCATGAGGACGTGGGGGCTGCGGGCGGCCGGCTGGATGGCCATGTTCACGGGCCTCAGCCTCATGACGCGCATCCTCTACACCCTGGGTAGGTGCCGCCCCTCGGGCCACCCCTGCCTGTCCCTCCCTGGGGCAGAGTCCAGGCCTGGGCCACGTCTGTCCCCCTGCTGTCCTGGGATGGACGAGGAGTCACGAGTGAGCAGCGTGGGGACCGTGGGGCCACCTCCCAGGGGCTGGTCTGGCTTCTGGGATGGCAGGTCTGGCCCCACCGTGTCCCTGTGTCCTTGGCCCGAGTGAGGTGCCCTGGCCTGTCTGGGGTCGGAGCTGGGAGCGCGTCTGGGCTGGGGCCGTTGGTTCGGGAGACAGGTTCTCGGGGACCTGACCCCAGTGTGTCCCTGCCCAGGCTCCTCTGGCCCCCACAGGAGCCCTTCCCCGCTGGCTCTGGCTGGGGACCTCCTCC